GCCCCCCCCCCCCCCCCCCCCCTTCAAGGTAATTATTGCACAGTCCCTTACATTATCTAATTACTAGCTAGAGGGCATGCGCAAACCGAGCCCACGATGTGATTTCGCGGCATTTTTGAATGTCGTTTTTTTTTAGCGGCTATATCGAGGACAATAGCCAAGTCTGCCTGTACGCTGTCCCACCAGGCACTGGTGTGCGCTGGACGAAACGAAAATCGTTTTTGACGAGCGAAGTTAAGAAGAAGGCGTTTTGCACGCCTTCGTCTGGAGCTAACAGATTCCACAATCTGGATATGATTACGTCTTCTTTTGAAATGGCTAATTGTTGTTGTCAAAATAACAAGACTGGTTCCAGCGCATTCAATAAGACTGGCGATAGGAGCTAGCGAAGTTGCAAAAGGAACATTGTTTTCTACCATTTTGAACTTTAAAGTTTTTATGTAAGTCTGGACCGTAGTTTAAGACGTAGTTGATTTCAAAAATATCCGTTACACGAATTCACTAAACCCTTCGGATTCAAAATATTCCGCTCTAGAGAGCGATTTCAAGTAGCATGCGGTTTCAATGTGCGGATTCACTGGTTTCCTGTGGGCGGAGGGCCGATTCGTACAACAAAAGTATGCGCTTTCAAAAGTACCAAGTTGCGTCTTAAATGCAATAATTTTGTTTGCATTTATTTCTTCATTCCTCGGTTCCAATATGAGAAATTCATATATTTTCCATTTCATAAGATTGTTTACCAGTGAAATAATTCAGTGCAAAGTTGTTTGCCAAACATTTACAAAAATAAGTATAGAACACACGTGTTGCACGTGAAATCTTGAGAATGTAACAGCTCAGACTCGTACCCAGTCCCCACTTCTCGTTTTTCTTTCGATTCTTCCCGCGAACTCACTCCTTCCCATTAATCACACTGCGAATACAAAGAAGAGTAGAAGTCTGGCTGTTTGAGCGCTCAGTTCGATACCGTCTATTATTCGCTGCTCAACCATCGTCTTAATTTCAAATTCAAGAAAAACATTTATATGGCCGCTCCTTGTGAGTCGAGGTTAGATATCCGCTTTGCATTGCTTTATGTTGAAAAACCACATGGAACAAACAACGAGCCGCATACAACCTCGGTAAATGGCCATGAACTCAGCACAGGTTACAAGGGAAAAGCAACAACAAACCTAAGCTGAGGTCAGTGAAGTTTCTTTGACATTTATCCTTAGCTTTAAACATTTGACAGTTATAGTGTATTCCACAAAGCATAAAAAGTTAAATACAATCGTTCATAACATGCAAAACAGTATCAAAACATGTGATAATTTATGCACCGAGCTTGGCAGACGTGTGTTTCAGGCCCCGTTCACACAATTCGGGATATTTTTTAAAACTGCATACTTCTCAGCACCCGGATATCGTGTGCAGAGTTAAACCACTCTGAAGAGCATTTTCAAAAAGAGGTAGTTTGGGTCTGCAGATTGGCTGGTTTCAAAAGGACGGGAGGTTGATTCGTATAAAAAATATGCGTTTTATAATATATCCAGATTCTTTTGGGCCGCCCCCCAATGCTGCATATCGACCGTGCGACAATTACTAATTACATGGCTTCATATGAAAGGAGCAATTAACCCGATATTGGTCTTAAATATCTCTTCGGTA